TCCTCAAACTTTAATCAGGCCTTCTTTATTTCCCTTTCTTCTCTTACTCTGCAATGGAAAAAATGGATGGAAGTTTCCAAAGTGCGGAGTTTGGTACCTAGGTGTATTTTAAGGCCAAGTACAGACAGTCAAAAAGCTGGAGGCTGAATCGATTTGCAGGTTTCTCTGAATTGCCTGGATTGAACCGATAAGCCAGAAAAGGCAGCCAGACTCCTGCAGTGGTCCATGCCAATAGCTGGGGGACACTAAAGCAGGCCTCCCAGCCTGCTGGCCACTGCAGAGAGCCTGGAGCCCAGCAATTCCCCCAGCCACACCCTCTCCTGAGCCTCTGGCCAACTGAGAAGTGGGTATGGGGAGAAACCCTAGGCACCGGATCCCCAGCTGGCATCTCCCTAGTCCCCGGTTCAATTCCCCCAGCTCCCAATCATTCCCTCCAGCCCCCATGGCTTCTCTCAGGACTGCCTGCCTCGCCCCGAAGCGGGTCAGCTAGGGGAGCAGCTGAACAAGCCGTGGCTTGAGCTGGCAGCCCTGGGAAAAGCCATGGGGGCTGGGGGGAAGGATCAGGGACGGGGGGAATGAATAGGGGCTTCCCCCCAGCTTCCAGTTCAATTCTCCAGTTCCCGGTTCCATTCCCCCGTTCATTCCTCCCAGCCTCCGCAGCTTCTGGCACTGCCTGCCTTGTCCCGGCGGTGGGAGCAGCCAGATGACCCGGGGTTGCTGGCTGCTCCCTTAGCTGCTCCCACAGGCATTGCCTAGTACTTACCTGTACAGTCTATGGCCGAATCTCTGCATCTTTTTTAATCAATTTGGAGGCTTCCGATTCGATTTGGAGAGATTAATAGGTCTCCCAATTCGATTTGGATTTGGAGATTCAGCTGCCGCGTCATGTCTGAATCAAATTGGCTACCGAAGCTTTGCACAGCCCTACTGGGCACATCCCCTAGCCACACCTGCTCCTTGGCTGGTGGGAAAAATGCCTCCCTCCCTCCTGTCCAGCTCCGGACCCCCAGCTGGGCTGTGCCCGGCATGGGAGGAGAAGGAGGGAAGCCTGCATTGGGGGATTTACTGTCCCACACGCAAGCTGGGAGCCAGGCTAATCACCAAGCCATGCTCTCTCCTTGGCTGGCAGGCCTGCTGCGGGGAGGGAATTCCCTCACTGCTTGCCTTGGGCACAACCTGGCTGTAGAGCTGGGTGGGGAGGGGCGGTTTTTTCCCCACCCCCCCGCTCCCTTCTCAGCCAGTCTGCTGGCCGAGGAGGGTGTGTGGCCAGGTGATCAGTCTGACTCCTGGCTTTCAGCTCAGTTGGAGGGAGTAAAGTCCCCACTATAGGCTTCCCTCTTTACTGCATCAGGCACAGCCCAGCTGGGGGTCTGGAGCCGGGTGGAGGGCAGGAGTGCTGTTTTTCCCCTCCATTCCCTCCTCAACCGGCCTGCTGGCCTAGGAGGGGGCATAGCCAGCTGATCACCCTGCCTTCTCCTTGGCTGGGGGATTGGCCTGGCTCCTGGCTTGGGTGTGGGGAGTAATGTCCGCACTGTGGGCTTCCCCCCTGCCTGCATCAGCACAGTCCTGGGGGGGTGGTGGGGGGGGGGGGAGGGAAGCCCATAGTGGGGACCTTACTCCCCCTGCCCAAGCTGGGAGCCAGGTTGACCCCGCTGGTCGAGGTGGGGGTGGGGCTGGGGGAAATCGGCCTGGCTCCTAGCTGCAGGGATGGAAAAGTCCCAGCTGGCAGCTGGCGGCGGGACCAGCCCTGCTCTGCTGGAATAGAGAGCGCAGCCCAGGGCTTCACAGTATCCTGGGATGCTGGAGGACTGAGAGTCCACTTGAATCAGGAGGGGATCTGGGGCAGAAGTTCCATAAACCGGTTTGACCTAAATCAGTTAAGTCTAATACTACATCCATCCAGGTTTATCTTAAACCAGTTTAGGCCATTTTGAAACTGATTTAAGTCTACTGAACGTCTGTTTTATTACAGGTTTAAACTGGTTCCTGATCACTTAAACTGGTTTATGTGTAACTTCTGTCCCTAACTGTCATGTTGAGCACTTCAATCTTCCCTGTGCCACACAAACCTCCCCCATCCTCAAGACTATTGGTTTTGTAAGATTTAAAATCTCTTTTTTGATTTAGTGGCATGACAGTTCAGAGCAGGGCCAGGTGCTGAAGCTTGGTGCCACCGCTGAGAGCCCCATACCACCATGGCAAGACGCCCCCTGCCTGCTTAGCAGCACTGAGGGACACAACTCCGCGCCACTGAGTGGGAAGGAGGCACCTCACCAGAGCAGTGTGGGACTCACGGCAGCGGCACTGAGCTTCCCCGCCCTATTCTGCCCTGCTGCATCGGGTCCTATCCACTGGGCCCCAGAGGCCCTGGGGGGAGGGCAGCAGGGTGGGGAGCCCTGAGCTTGCAGTGGGCAACCCGCCTCTGCCCTGCACATAAATTGGGGGGGGGGGGCATGTGCCCCCCATACCCTCCTTGGGAGTGTATGCAGCGGTAAGGAGCCAGCCCCCACCACTGCCCACAGGACGAGCCACCTATGCCTCCGTCTTGCTTCCTGAAGTTAGTGGTACCACTGCTGAAATGAGGGATGCTCTGTTATGTGTAACATGAGGGTAACCAGCAGCACCAGCAAAACTTTTTTCATTCCTTATGATTGTCACTAGGCAGTTTCTGTTTTCCTGCAATGCATTTTGTAAGTGGTACTCTTTATCTGCTTCGAGGGCATGCACAGCTGAGTTTCCTCTGCTGATACATGAGCTTGTGGGTCCAGTTAAAGGTGTGGTATACCTTTTTCTTGCATGTTGCATGTGCTACCTGTTGTAGAGCCCCCTCCCACTTCCCTGGGAAAAAAAAACTTTCCATGGGTGGGTAGCCTAGCATTGATGTTATTGCCTCATGTTAGTTCAGGGGTGGGCAAAGTCTGGCCCGCAGACAAGATCAGGCCTGCAACAGACTCCTTTTTCCCAGCAGTCCCTGCCCATGTTGCAGCAGCCAGTTCCTATGGAGACTCCAGCAGCAGTGGCACCATGACAGCACAGGACCAGGGTTTCCATGGAGACCAGTCCCAGAAGTGTGGGCAGGGCATACAGTTGGGCAGGGAGTTGCTCCAGGGGTAGGATCTTTTGGCAGTGACAGCATTGTCCCGGCCCAGGGCATGCAGGCAAGCAGATTGCAGCTCTGCCCTGGCTCCAGACCATACCGTCACCACTTCAAGTTTCCCGCCCTGGCCACAGAGCCACTCCCATCCCCCTCAGCTGTGCACCCTGTCAGCCTTGCGGGGGCCAGTCTCCATGGAAACCCTAGCCCCACACTGTCATGGCGCCGCTGCTGCTGGGGTCTCTATGAAAACTGGCCACAGCAAAGTGGGCAGGGCTTGCTGGGAAATGGAGTCTAGCTGCCAGATGGAGCCGCCATTTTGCCCACCCCTGTGTTAATTGAATGTGACTGTCTTTGCAAGTCTAGCGTAAAGCAAGACTTTACACTAGACATGCTACAGGCTACAGATTGCTTGCCTCAGTATCATGGCATAATAGAAAAATGAAGAGCTACTTTCCCTGTGTACAGGTCCCATAGTCTATTTTTCTGTCCTACTCAGCCTTGTTGCATCCATTGGCGGTGGTACAGATGGGTAGCATGGCATGTTGTTGCCCGGGTCATCATTCTCTCAAAACCCCTCCGCCCCCAGGCTGTCTGTGAAGAGAGTGGTTTTAGAGGTCCTTGCTAAGTAAAAGGTACACATTGGAAGTGACTGGCTTTCCAAGCTGCTTCTATAATTATCCCTATTACACAGCAGTAGGCATAAGCGGCACTAGAAAATATCATTTTGGGGGAGGGGATGGGACTGGGCAGTGTGGAGCCTGTCCACTTGACCCTGCCCTCCCTGCCACAGGGCCGTTCCAGGGCTGGTGTGCGCTGGTGCTGTGCACGCGGTGGCGAAAGAGTGCATGGCAGGGGCACTGTGCATGGTGCTGTGGTGGCGCTGGACCTGCTGTTGCTGGCCCAATTTGGGGGGGGCTAAGCCTATGGCAGTAAGTGAGGAGTTCTTACCCTGCAGCCAACTGCATTTCAGCCTGGGGTAGAGGTGTGGAGAGATGAGGCACGCTCCTTTCATTTTTCAGTTCCTATAGGACAACATAGACTTTTGTGAATAGGCTCAGCGAGGATCTGGATGTCTAGAGAGAACAACTTAGTGATGATACCTTGAACTGAACAAGCACATTGGACTTCTAGAATTGCAGTCTATATACCCAATCTTCTGACATGGACTCTGCATATATGTACATATTGCCCGAACCTGTGCCCATTGAAATCAGGGGCCAAACTCTACTGTAGGTTTCTGTGAGACATGATCCCAAAACAACTAGAGTGATTCACATGGCAGCTTATACCATTGATTGCTGTATGTTTCTTATGAAACTGGGCACAACTAGATCCAGGCAGGGACCCTCCTGCTTCTGTTGACTTGAGTGGACTCCATACAAGAACCTGAGTCTACCTGTGTGAATCAGACTTTGGACTGTGGTTTTAATTGCTTTTATCAGACAAAGAAGGTGAACATATAGGTATCTGCATTTTGAAAGTAGTTTTTATGACATTTTAAAGACCAACCTTTACCTGCATGTGAGGCACCAGCATTTGCATTGTGCCTGAGAATTTATCATAGAAGTTGTCCATATCACACCTAACTTCCTGCTGGCCTATGGAGAGACTGCTTTGTTAGATGTCTCACAGGTGCTATGGTGCCCATCATTATGGTGATTTGCATGGATTTGCCTGGATTTAGAACTAACCAGATATAGATATTCTGTGCTCCTAGTTGGCATACTCTGGGGTAAGGAAAGTCATGCCAGGGTTGGTAGCCTTTACCCAGGTGCACTCCTTTGAGAGTATTTCTGCATTTGAGCCAGATCTCCATGCTGTGCAGTCAGCATGCTGTCCAGCTTCTGCCTGGTGTTGAATTGCTGCCAATATTAATGGGTCTTTTGTGCTTCTTTTTCTGCAGGGCAGCCACTGACCACAACACTGATAACACAACAGCAATCCTGAAAGAGTGGCTGAAGAATGTGCAAAAACTCTACCATTATGTGGAGTGGAGGCCTATGGAAGAGCCTGAGTGAGTGTCTTAACAAGTTATTTAATGAAATCTTTGTTGGAGGTTAAATGTCAATATTATTGTAACCCTGGCACACGGCGCTACCCACGTGCCACGTCCGAGTGTTGGAATCCTGAGGTGCCCAGTAGCATAAGCCTCACTTGGCTCTCCTAGGAGCTGAAATGGGGCTTTCCAGCAGAGAGGGCACCTTTTACACTTACAAACCCTTTGCAACCACCAATATAATTATTTACACATATTTAATTATATACTATTGAATTATTCAGTTATATACAGAATAAGGTATAACTAAAGCGCATACAAATTATAACTTGCTACCAAAATAACTCTATATACTGTACACAAAAGGAGCACTGGTGCTATGGAGATAGTTACTTGGGTGCCTACGGAGTTCACAAACTCATAACCTCTCAGGTGTAATATAGGTTAAAGGAGAAGTGTAAACAATAATTACACATTGAAGCACTAAAAATTGCTTAATATTTACAACACGAGCTATTGGATACTTATTTACAAACACTACTAATGACCTTTATGCACAATGAATTTACACACAATCCCCACCTCCTCCCATCGCAACGTGGTGGGTCCTTTGTGGCTGGGGTCGTCCCACGTCAGCCCAGGCATCACTGCACTGCTGGCAGCTGCTCCCACATCTGGGTCCCTGCAGCACACAATGTACACTGTGGGCTGCACAGCTTGGGCTGCAGGCTAAAGCAGATACACTTCTCCCATGGGTGAGCACATGGGTGCACTGGGTTTGGCTCCTGCAGCCCTTGCCTAATTACACACTAACTGTGGTTTGCTTCCCTACAAGCAAACCCGTGTGCTCCTTTGCCCCGTCGGCAGCTCACCCCAGCTCTGGCGGGCTCCAGGGGGTGAGCCACTGTGCACAGCCCTCTCCCTGCAGCATAAGCCCTTCTCTACCCCTTTGCGGGGAAAACTCCCCACTTTTGAAGAAACCTTCCCAGCCAATACAGCAGCTGGGATTTTCACGAGCTCTCCCTAACTGTCCCTCTCTGATTTCAAACCCCTGGCCGAGGTTTTTCCATTCTTTTCCTCTTTTCAAGATGTCCCTGCCTGGGACAGCTTCATTTTGCCCTGAATACAGAGTCCCCACTGAGATTAATTTCCTTTGGTTCAGTACAGAGACTCTGCTGAGACAACTTCTGGTCAGGTAAGCAATACTTAATGGCTGTTACATTGTTTTAAGGCTGCAGATGGAATAAGCATTTAACACGCTAAATTACTGAAATGACTGGTATGGAGTTTGCCTGCAGGTTCTTCAAGGCTTGGTGTCAACTAAAGACAAGAGTCATATTCTTGGCTTTGCTAAGACTGCTCACATGCATAAAATTAAAGACTGCTGGGTTGGGATCTATGAAAAGTAAGAAGTCCCTATTCAGCCATTTAACAGCTGAAACTACATTCATTGCCCAGCCAAGAATTCTCACAGGAACATTCAGGTGCTTGGTGCTTCATTTGCCGAGAGAAATGAAAATCATGCTCCATTTCTCCAACCCTTATCAGAACTCTGTCCCTGGCTTGAAATATTTCAAAACTTTCCAGCCAGGAAGCAAGTTTTCTTCAACATTCTCTTCTTGGTGATTTACAATCTCTTTATTATTACTTAAAGAGATGCCATTGAGTTTAAAGAACAAAAATCCTCATCTGTTTGCTGAAAAGATTTATGACAAAGCATTTTTTCTGATTCATTTAATTTATAGATTTAATGTGGTTTACTCTCTGCATATCTCCCAGCTTAGAGAAGGAAGTTAAAAACATGTTTATTTGCAATCATTTTCTCTTTGGGGTGGTTTGACTGATGCAAAAGCTGCAAGGGGATGTTTGAATATTTTTAGAAACAGTCCTGTTTCCACTAGGGTTTTGTTTAAATCTTGTCAACCTCTAGGTTTTGCAAAATCTGTTTGTCCACTATGGGATTGGATCCCCAATTGGCACCACTTGTCACTGCTTCATTTGTCACTGCTCCCTCATGGCAGGGGAGTCGCACCATTTTATATCCTCTGTGGATCTTGCCTGGGGTTTCTTTCCATATCCCACAACCTCCTCATTGATGAAGACTCTGCAGTCAGACCACGGGCTCTGATCTTGGAAACAATTAGGCATTGTGTATAAGTACTCCAGTGATTATTCTCATTGATTTCAAAGTCAAGGTTAGATGGTAGCCCCTAGTAAACAATTGCTAATGATGCACAAGTTATGGTAGAATCCAGGTGACTCTTTCATAGCTGATAAAGAAGATACAGATATACAAAGTGATAAAGATATACATACTTCTCTGGGGATGAGTTGTCAGCTGGTATAAATCTGCATCACTGCAGGGAAGTTGGATTGATAGAAGTGGGTATCTGACCCACTGAATGAGAAGCTGCTGTTTTTTGACACAGTCCCATTTTCGCCATGTGTTAGGCAGGAAATGCTGTAGCACTGTGTGTTCTTTCCAGCCCTGTGTACATACACTGGGAATAAACTTGGAATTGTCTTTCCTTAGAACCTGCCTTTTTATTTTTGCTTTCATACCTCTTGGGTCACCTGAGGTAACTGTTTATCCAGAAGGCAGAAAGGAAACTTAAAAGATAGGGGCTGCATCATGGATGAAACATGGCTGCAGTAACCATTTCTTGCTTTTCTAGGTCTTACCCTGATGAAATTGGTCCAAAACACTGGCCAAACTCCAGGTTTACCCATGTGATGAAGCTCAGGCAGGCTGCCCTGCGAACTGCAAGAGAAAAGTGGTCAGACTACATCTTGGTAAATGAGAGATTTGATTTATTAACTGCAGCTGGGCAGAACGTTTTCAGGCAATCATTCTACCCAGGGGCTTGCAACTGCCAAAAGGTTCCTTTTTTATTAGTATAACAACACTTCTGTTGGCTCGGATTCTGTTTGAGAAACACCTGTATCATTATGCGATCTGATTGGCGATAGGTTTTGTAAGGCTGCAGGCTGCTATCAGATCCACGTGAACCAGCCTCTTGGATGGAGCCCTGCTGATTAGGATTGTGCTTGCATGATCACAGTGAACCATCCAGACTAATCTGATTGCAGGCTGAAGGCCTGGGTGTATAAATGAGTGTAGGTGATAGGTGCTCTGTTAAAGAGTCCTCCGGCTGAAGCCTAACCTTTATCAATGACGTTTGATGATAGCTGAAAATAGTTTGGCAGAACTGACATGGAAGGCAGTCCTCAGAGCAGAAGTGAATAATTATACTATGCCAGGAGCTGTCATGTCTTTTTCCTATGTACTGATCCACTATAGGCTCTAGTAATACAAGCCTCCCTCACGATCTCCTTCCACATGTTCTAGTATAATTGATTTGGGGGGTGTTTGAGAGAGGAGACTAGTTCAGTTTCTCTTTTTATGTGATGGCCTTTCCATAGAGGCACACAGCACTGGTATACTTTGCCTTATTGGACACCTGTCCACCAGCTCATTTTATGTAAGGCCACTGTGGAACCATCAAATGGCAACTGTTTCTGGTCACCATCCACCTGGGTTGGATTCCAGCTGGGGACTTGGAAGCAAAGGTGTTTCTAGCCCATTGCTGTTATGTGCAGCCATCAAGCCTCTCCCTCCCCAAGAAGGGAAACTGCAAGTGCCTGTTGTTTCATCTAAGGTGTTGATATTTTTTTCTTTCTTTCTCTTCTTTTTCTAGTTTGTTGATGCTGACAACTTACTCACTAACCCACAGACCCTGAACCTGATGATAGCAGAGAACAAGACAGTGGTGGCACCAATGTTGGAGTCTCATGCTCTCTATTCTAATTTCTGGTGTGGCATCACTCCTCAGGTAAGTGTAGCATTCTGATTAGTGAACGGTTTCTGGTGGTTACCCTATACGTATGCTTTTTAAGGGCTCTGTTCAGTCCAAGTTTGCCTGTAAAATGCAAGGCTTTTGCCTAGTAGTGTAGGCTGCCCCCTTTTTTGAAGAGATACTGCTTCATCTCTGATGCAAGTAATAGTGACTTCTACTGTTCCACAGCCAGCTAAGCCAGTTCCTTCCTCAAATATTGTTGCCACATGGGGCTCCAGGAGATAAGGGGAAAGGACCACCCAGTTATTCAGAAGCCTGGGAATAAGAGTCTTTGACTGCTTCTTTCCAGAGTTTGTTCTGTTCTGTGTTTCTCTGGCTTGAGATACAAAGGTGAAGGTGTCTTTTCATGTTTGCCACCCCTCCCATCTGCCCCTGTATCCTTCTCCTCTCTTGCTTTATGCTGGGAAATAGGAAGGTGCCAGTTAGCTTTGTAAGCCATTGTTGTTATGGCAGAAACCAGCTCGTATAATGAAGAGTGGCGAAGTGGACAAGGATCATAAGTATTTCCACCCATCTGGGAGTGAGGAGCTCTGAAGGGCATGCAATCTCAGACAAATGCTAAGATGGGGAAGGGTTCTCATTTGGCCAGGAGTGGGGAAGTGGAATTAATAGTGAAAAAAACAGGAAAAATAGAGAGATTAGAACTGGGGCAGTGTTAACTCGGCAGTCATTTGTCATTGTTGATATCAAATAACCAAGTTCCTAGTTTTTGGGGTTCTCAGAGGCTGATATCAGAAGGACATAAGAATCAATCTGTACTGTGCTTTGTTTGGTTTAATTAACTTGTAAGGATGTACTAAATACTGTAGAATATAGCTTTAGAGAATAATCACATTTCTAAGGTGTGTTCCCTTACCTGGAACTTTCTGTCAGAGAAAACTTGAGGCCTGAAGAAGCTGAACATGTTTTAAGAGACAGTATTTCTAACAGAAAATTCTGGATTATGGTACAATCCCACAAAATACGTAAGAAAATACCAGGATACCCACAGGGGCACCAACATTTATTTGAGGCAGTTCCATATGTTTGTGTAATCGGATGGAGTAAAATAGCAGTCATACATAATTTTAGACTGGGTTTTCCTGTATTCTGACATAAACCAGTGAAGAATTTTCTCTTCTTCATATATACAGCTGTCTATTATATGAGCAGGGTTCTCCTTATGCCCACATCACATTTAAACAGTTGGCTAATTCCCTTCAGTTTAGTGAAATTGCTCATGCTTTACCCTGCTGGGAAGGAGAGAAAAATCAGACTTTTTCTGTTAATTGCACCTCGAATGATATATGTCATGTGTATAACTTGTTATGTATTAGAAAAATTCTGCATATGACAGCAATGTTTATAATTTGGGGCCATAATGACATTCAGAAGTAGATTTTAAAGCTGATAAATGTCTCCTTATCTATAAATGAGTTTTAGGTAGAGAGTTAATTATACAGTATAGTAAGCTTACTTCCCTCAACCACTCTTTTACAGTGGGTCTTTAAATATCCCTGGCCCAGCTTCAGCTGGGTGGACCACAAAAGCCTCCCAAGAACAATACTGCCTCTAAGACAAAGTCTTGATAGCAAAAAGTCCTTCCTCCCCACGGTCTCCAGGAGTGCTTCTTCGTCCTTCTTCATGGTCTGGGAAAAAGGACTCTGATCACTTCTTCTCTCAACTAAAGGAATTCCAGTTGCACGCAGGTGAAGAGCCCCTCTGTTTTCCTACTTCATAATGAGATCAGACAGCTTTTTGTGCTGCTCTTCCCCCTGCCTTCCTTGGTCTTGTTGTGGGAAAGTGGAGCCTTGTCCCATCCTCCACCATATGGCTCCTGGGCCAGGGCCCTAGGAAAAATGTTCTTTTCTTTCCCAGATTCCGTCTTCCCATTTTCTATCGGTCCCTGCTCTTCACAGAATCCCCATTTGCCTATGATTACTTTGAGCAAGTAACTTGGATCCCATCACCTCCCCAACACCTCTTTTCTTAAAGGGATGGTAGATCCCGCTATGTATAAAAACATCTTTAAACCCAGAGGGCACTTCCAGATATTTATTACAGATTTTATTAGTGTTAGAAGGAGACTAACTGGAAAAACCTTTACTCTTCTTTTAGTCGGTGCCCAGTTCTAGAAGTCTTATTTACTTGAGTCAGATATTCCTAGTGACAGCATTGGGGCTTCAGGCCAGAGTGAAGGCTGCAGGACAGCATCCTAGGACTTCCAAATTCTTGAGTTTGTTATTAGCAATTAAATTGATTATGAAAATTGTTTAAAAAGATATGCGTAAACATCCGCTGGTAGTATTGTCTCAGTAAGCCTTTACAAAAAGGGGAGCCAGTTTTACAACTGGGGAAAACCAGCATCACTCTGTGGACTTCAATTCACAGCAGATGTTTTGCAAAAGCTGAGGATTTGGCCTGCAGTCTTGTTCCCCTGATAACAAGCTTCCACTTTGCTACAATTCTTGACATTTGCTGAGAAAAGGCTATAAAGAAAAGGAAAAACTAGAATCCTTCCTGGTTTAAAAAAATGTAAAACTCAACAACAACAAAAACCTCCCTTTTTTGCCATGCCTTGTTTCCGCGCTTCCAGCCCAATGATTTCACATCTCTGCTGGTCAGATGCTCTCTGGCGTTTTGGGGGAGGAGGAACAGCTGGAGCATGTGCTGAAAAATAACAGTGAGCAGCAACAGCAGTGCAGAGAACAACAGTAGCAACCCAAGCAGCCTGACAGCATGACATTTTCTTGTCAGGAAAATAACCCTCCGAATGTTTGGCAGCAGAGCTGACAAGCTGGAGCATTCCCTGACCAGACACAATCTTTATGGAGAGCGAGGAATGAGGCACTGAAAGGCACTTGGCTTCTCTCTT